GTGACGTATTCGTTGTGGTTTTGGTCAGATTCGACGCATGAGGAGGTGAATTCGAAGGGCAAGAGCATAGCAAGCTAGGACTTTGGCTGGCTTGAGGTTAGTAATAAATGTAAATGCTGTGTTGAGGGTTTGAAACCCCGAATTTGCACAATGTAGTGCCATGTGAGGTGACTTGCACGCCGGATAACGGGCGTGGGGTAGAGCACCGTCAGGGATTGTGACTTGGTCCGTCCCGTTAATAAAATTACTACCTAGCTGATTGTAGTTTTTGTGATATCCTTATAAAAATGGATTAAATTGGTATCATTGGGCCTTGTGCCAACTACTTGAATCCTTCAGGGATTGTTTTTAATGGTTTCTTACCATATTTATAAATATTAAACTCGGTCCTGGTATTTAATACTGTGTTGGCAACTCAACCATTTTTCTTAAGTTAGAAATTAAGTTAATATTTTTAGATGAAGTTTGGACTGAATACTTTTTAATATTTTGTGATTTTTGGACTGAGTATGGGATCGGGCTGCACGCCGCAGTGGTTTAATAATGATATTGATATGAGGCCAAGGGCCTGTTTGATGCCACCAGATGGCTTATTATTGTGCTTGGGCCGTAAGGGGCCCCTCCCGGAGTCTGCACATCCCCAGTGAGCGCCGTCGACGTTAAATAAGTGGAGCGGGCTGCACGCCGCAACGGGTACTGGAGATGTAACGGTTTATGTGTTGCATTGCATACTTGATTGTCATTTACTTATTTATCTGTTGTGATTCTTCTATAATTGTTTCATTGGTTTATTGAGCTGATATTATTTGGGTTGGACTGCTGTAATTATAGCTTATCTTGTGCCTGTCCAGGATTTCTTACTCTCAACCCTTATTTATATTTATTACTTTCTGGGTTGGAAGTACTCACAATACTCCCTGCACCTTGTGTGCAGATCCAGGTACACCACAGGGTGAGTGAGGACTTGTTTAGCTGAGCAGCATTTATCCGGGAGTATTGAGGTAGCTGCATGGCGTTCGCAGCCCTGATCTCCCTCATCTATTTTATTCTTTTAATTCGCATTTTCCCTAGACGGACTTGTGGTAGGTGAATATTCTGTATTAGAGGCTCATGTTCGTGACACCAGATTCTGTGGGCTGATTAGTATTTTTAGTATTTAATTCTGGGGTTCTCGAATGTTAGAGATTATATCAGAAATTCCGCATTAAATTGGTACTTTAGTAGTGAATATTTATTTATCTATTGAGAATAATTGGCTAAGGTTGTGTAAATGGTCGGGCTTGCCTAGCATTGTGTTGGGCGCCATCACGACCGGGGTTTGGGTCGTGACATTTTTAAATAATAAAATAATAATCAAAATTCAATGTAAAATTTATTACAATCATTCCTAAAATAAAATAAAAGCGTTTTAATGCAAGACAAAAGAGCAGAGTCATTGCTTAATACATATAAATACATACTATAACTACAAGCCTAGAGTAAATGGTAGTGTATTTATCAAGGTTGTAGTCGAATCCTAAATATTACCCAAAAATAATGCAATATGTTCTTCTCTTGCTCACTCCCTAACTAATGAAAGTTATGCACTAATATTGTGTATGAACAAATAACTCTTGCAAAAACACCAATAATGTGAAGAAAAAGTCGGAAAAAAAAAAAGAAGAAAAGAAAACTTATGTACAAAAAATTTCAAATGAAAAGAGAAGTAATGGTCAAAGAAGAAGAGATGAGAGTGATGCAAAGGAAAAGATATGCTTTACTATTTATAGTAATCAAAATAAAAGTAGTAACTTACATTGAGGAATGGTCAAAGAAGAAGAGATAGAGTGATGCAAAGGAAAAGATATGCTTTACTATTTATAGTAATCAAAATAAATAAAAGTAGTAACTTACATTGAGTAATAGGAAAAGAAAATGTAAGGTATATTGAGTAATTGTAATAGAATGGATAATAAGTGTATTAATAATTGTAATGAACGTATTTATGGGCAGAATGGTTAACTGATGTAATTAATACGATAGAAAATAATCAATTTTCAATTATTAAATAATTCAAATAAAAAGAATGAAAGCGAAAAAGGTAAAAAAAAATAAATAGGATCCTTGGCCGAAAAGAGGTGTCAAGTCACTTTTTTTATTTTCACACATATATATATATATAGAGAGAGAGAGAGAGAGAAAGAGATAGATATAGATAGCTAGATTAATCATGATTAAGTAAGAGAGATTTATGTGCAAATAAATGAACAAAATTAACAAATAATCACTTTTCTGTTCCGGTAACTAAAAACAACCACTGTCCTGAAGCTTCAAATTCTGCAAGTAAAACTCCAATATAGTGGCTATTGGGTAGTGGCTGTTTCCTAAAAGACGATATTGAAAAGTGGTCAAATGATGTTATTTCTACACAAACTTGCGGATAAGCTTTTTTAACCGGTGAGATTCAATATTTATTTTTCTAGTTTATATACATAGATTATATACGAGAAATTTTATTTTGTGTGAGACTCAAGTAGTGTCAGTTGTATGAGGGTCTTTATGTATGACAAGTGTCCATTGTGATACGGCACACTAGAGACCCATTTCACTTGCTCGTTACCCTCTTTTCTCCTCACTCACCGCCACTCTCTTTCTTCATACTAGAACCCGCGCAATGCGCGAATAATTTGACGGAATAGTTATCTTATAAAATTATGATCTAATATATCATATTATTTTAATAAATAATAGTTGTATTATTTTATTATTTAATGTAGTATACATAAATATAGTAAAATTTATACAAAATCGAAGGATACAAAGCATTATAGTAATCAAATAAATTGTTCTTGTGTATTCTTTATTAAATTAGCAAGTACTTAGTACGATACGTTTACGAATGTGATTTTTTATTAATTTGTCAATTGGCTTAATATTTTGATATTACTTCTCTTCTAGTAGAACATACGTATATATTTTCTTATTCTGGAAATATATATGTTTATACTTATGTTATACTGTTTAAAATTCTTCAATTGTCTAAATTTATCAATAATTTTCTTAAGTGTTATTTATTTATATTTTATTTATTAATTAATTCAAAATATAAAAATTACAAAATTATCTTTATCCACCTCTTTTCGTACATTCATTTTTATTATAATATTTGATTAGTTTTCTCATTTTATATTTACTGAAAATTTAAAAAATATCATTTTTTACTAAATAATTTTGAATTCATCAAAAGTATAAAGAGATAAGCCTTTTATTATTTTTATACAAATATTTTTAATAATTAAAATGTGTTTTATATAATATATTATCTTATGTATAATATCCTAATAGTTTCTTTATATTATTATTTTTTTCATTATGAAATTATGAGTTCTATTTATTAACTAAACTTTCCTACATGAGAAATTTAATTAGTATATGTATTTTTAAGATATCATTTGCTTTATTTTTTTTTTAGTATTCTTCATTTATGACTATTTGTTTATTATGATTTTAGTTATGTGTATATGTATGATTTCTGATATATATATATATATAATTGTTTCTTGGTCCAATTTGAATGAGTAGAATATTTTTTGTATTTTCATTTTTAATTGATAATTATAAGATATCTATATTTATTAATTTAAGTAGTGTAACTAATTAATTCAAAATTTAAAATTCAAAAAAAAAAATTAGTTAGAAAAGTAGTTTAGTTTGTCTTAACAATACCACTTGGCTTTTTGTGGTTATGACACTTGTCTTAATGTAGTGCTTTTGCTTCTCCTATTCTATATAGATAGATTCCTCTATTTTAAATCCTCTTTTTATTTGCAACAACTCTTAATCCAACTAGACCTATATACATTTTGTCCCATATTCACTGAGAGCTCTGGTGCACAATTTTTTTCTTTTGAAAATGATAAAATCATCAAATTAGTTTATTTTCAATGTCCTAAACTAATTAATCCACAACATTTATAATTTCTATTGTCTCTCTATTTTGATTTGTGTCATTAGATGTTGAAAAAATCAGTAAACGTTTGGAGAGTTAAAGTAAGAATGATGGTATTTGGAAGGTTTGAATATGTTTTTGGAGGAAATGAAAATATGAGATGTGAATGAATCTGCAAGAGTACTTAATGGTCAAGTGAAGTTTTGATTTTGTTGATATTTAGAGCTTGTTTGGAAAGCCACTTTAGAAATGGATTTGGGTGTAATTGGGTGTAATTACACAGTTTGGCATGTTTGTTTGGCTAAGTAATTACTTGGTCAGCATGAAATTGGGTGTAATTGGAGGGGTGTAATTACACTCTCCAATTCTCAAGGTGGGGGAGGGGGGGGGGATGAGAATTGGTGGTAATTACACTGTGTAATTTCCATTTACTTCTTGTGATTCCATGTAATTGCTTATATTTTATTTATTTTATTATTCTATTTTTTGAACTACACCTCCTAATATTAGAAATAATGAGTCATTAACAAACTTGACATATAATGGGTGATGCAATTAAAGTGAAATTTCGTTGTTGAATGTGGTTATAACTTATCATGTTTCTTAATTATTAAGTTGCACTGGAACTTACTATTATTATGTTGGAATTTGACATATGTTAAATTTTTTTTTTAAATTTTGAAATTGTATTATATTCATGGTTTCATTTACTTATTTTAGTAGTATTGGCTCACATTGCATGTTGTTCATTTTTTAGTTAGAATTGATAGATTAATTTTGTCAAACATTTGAATAATGTTATGACATTATATTTTTAAATACGAATTTATTTTATCAAACATGAATTCCATGATGTTCTTACAAAACATATATTTTATTTTTGTAAGTATCTAAACTAAATATTATTAATTATAAAAAATATATACATTATTTTTATAATATTAGTTATAAATATATGATTACTAAATGAATGTATATTCACGAAAAATATACATCTTAAATATAAAATATAACCCGATATTTTGCTCGAGTTATCGGGTGAACTTGTTTAACTCGAGCAAGAAACATAAATTCAAATATCCAACGATTACTCCCTATTGTCAACTTCTCCTGTTAGTCCACTCCATAACATGGATTCTCCACTTCTCCAATGAGGTTTCCGTTTCGCTCCTACTTCAAATCCCACCATCCCCAAACCCTATCTTCTCTCAGATTTATTCTCGATTCTCTCTTCTTTTTGCTCTCTAAATTTAATCCCATGGCCGGCAATCAGCACGCGACACCTCACTCCGATAATCCTCCGCCGTTTGATCCGTCGGAACCGTCGATTCCGATATCTTACCCGCTTAAGACGCTAGAAGAGCTCGAGTCGAGGTCTTATTTCGACTCTTTTCACTTCCCGTTCAATAAGGCTTCCGTGAAGTTGCCGCCTTACGCCGCCACTGAATTGCCGAAACGACCTAGGCTTTTGGTATGCCACGATATGGCTGGAGGGTACCTTGACGATAAGTGGATACAAGGCGGAAATAATCCAGATGCTTATGCTATATGGCATTGGTATTTAATTGATGTATTCGTGTATTTCTCGCATTCTTTGGTTACTTTGCCGCCTCCCTGTTGGACTAACGCTGCTCACAACCATGGAGTTAAGGTATCAGATTTAACGCGTTTAATCCATCGTGCTCTTTTTGTTCTTTCTCGGGTTCTATATAATTTGAATGAAACCTGAATAGAGAGAAACAGAGATAAATTATTGATTGACTAATTTCTCCAATTATGTTGAGTTGTTTTTCTACTCTTCCAACACCTAAAGTTCTGCATGACAGGATGGTCACTTCCTCCTTTTCCATTGAACTTAATTTCATTTATTATAAGGTTTTGGGAACATTTATCATGGAGTGGGATGAAGGCAAACTTCTTGCCAACAAATTACTGTCATCAAAGGACTCAGCTCAGATGTACGCAGAGCGGTTAAGTGAGCTTGCTGCTTCTTTAGGCTTTGATGGATGGTTGGTAAGCAATTGATTCTGAAGTCTGATCTCTTTCATTTCCTAATCACAGAGCTTGATGCCAAATATTTACATTCATTTCCTGATTGCTTTGATTTTATATATGCCTGTTAGACTTGAAAAGAGATCTCCCCCC